CGTCTCGTTCATTCCTACCCGCCCCCCCACAGCACAAGCAGCACCCGAGTCCCAGCATGGACAGAGGCCGCCATCGACAACCATCGGGAACCAATTCAGATGCCAGCCAAGCATGCGACACCCGCGACGTGCGCCGCACATGCCAGCTGCCCAATATGCCGGCACCCCCGCTGTTCTATCCGAAAACCTCTGCAAAGTGGTCGCGGGGCGCCTGCGCATGCTCCAAATTTGGAGACAAATCAGCCTGGCGAAAGACCCAACCATATGGATTTGTAAGTACCGCAATTGTGGATATCTTTTTGAGTGGCGCTCCCCATATGGGGCCACGAAGCGCTGCATTAAGTAAGTGAAGCGCAGGGGGCAAGGGCAGTTTTGGGTGGTGGCGGACGCGTGCGGGCGGTGTCACTGGAACCTTCCGTGGAGCTCCCTATGGGGCCGCGAAACGCTGTACTGGGTGGGTGAAACGCAGGGAGCAAGGGATGTGCTGGATGGCGTCGGACGCATGCGGGCGGTGCAAGTGGGACCTTCGGTGGAGCACCCTTATGGGGCGACGAAGCGTTGTATTGGGTGAATGAAACGCAGGGAGCAAGGGCTGTGCTGGGTGGTGGCGGACGCATGCGGGCGGTGCCACTGGGACCTGCCGTGGAGTTCGTTATGGGGCGACGAGACGTTGTACTGGGTGGGTGAAACGCAGGGAGCAAGGGTTGTGCTGGGTGGTGGCGGACGCATCCTGGCGGTGCCACTGGGGCCTTCGGTGGGGCTCTCTATGGGGCCACGAAACGCTGCGTTGGGTGGGTGAAACGCATGGAAGAAGGAGGAGGGAGGGGAGGAGGAGGAGGAGGAGGAGGAGGAGGAGGTGGAGGAGGAGAAGGAGAGGAGGAACGCGTGGCGACGTCTCTTCAAAACGAGGACCCAACACCACGGGATGGTTGGGAATCGTATGTTGCATTATTTCCCAACCATCCTGTGGTGTTGGGTCCTCGTTTTGAAGAGACGGTGCCCCGCGTTCCTCCTCCTCCTCCTCCTCCCTCCTCCTCCTCCTCCTCCTCCTCCTCCTCCTCCTCCTCCTCTCCTCCTCCTCCTCCTCCCCCTCCTCCCTCCCCCTCCTCCCTCCATCGGCACACCCCTCACGCACTTCGTGGCCCCATAAGGGGGCCCCACCGTAGGCCCAAATGGCTGCTGTCGCATGCATCTCCCCCGCCCAGGACAGCGTCTCGTGGCCCCATAGGGGGCTCCACCGACTGCGCCAGTGGCTGCTCTCGCATGCGTCTCCCCCCCATGCAGGACAGCGCTTCGTGGCCTCATAGGGAACTCCACCGAAGGCGCCAGTGGCTGCTCTCGCATGCGTCTCCCCCACCCAGGACAGCGCTCCGTGGCCCCATAGGGAGCTCCACCGACGGCGCCAGTGGCTGCTCTCGCATGCGTTTCCCCCACCCAGGACACCGCTTCGTGGCCCCATAGGGAGCTCCACCGACGGCGCCAGTGGCTGCTCTCGCATGCGTCTCCCATACCCAGGACAGCGCTTCGTGGCCTCATAGGGAGCTCCACAGAAGGCGCCAGTGGCTGCTCTCGCATGCGTCTCCCCCACCCAGGACAGCGTTTCGTGACCCCATAGGGAGCTCCACCGGAGGCGCCAGTGGCTGCAGTTCGCATGCGTCTCCCCCACCCAGGACAGCGCTTCGTGGCCCCATAGGGAGCTCATAGGGAGCTCCACCGAAGGCGCCAGTGGCTGCTCTCGCATGCGTCTCCTTCACCCAGGACAGCGCTTCGTGGCCCCATAGGAAGCCCAACCGAAGGCCCGTGCGGCTGCTCTCGCATAAGTCTCCCCCACCTAGGACACTGCTTCGTGGTCGAAAGCCCAAGTGGCTGCTCTCGCATGCGTCTCCCCAGCCTAGGACAGCGTTTCGTGGTCCCATAGGGGGTTCCACCGAAGGCCCCAGTGGCGCAGTTCGCATGCGTCTCCCCCACCCAGGACAGCGTTTCGTGGCCCCACACGGAGCTCCACCGAAGGCGCCAGTGGCTGCTCTCGCATGCGTCTCCCTCACCCAGGACAGGGCTTCGTGGCCCCATAGGGAGCTCCACCGAAGGCCCCACTGGCGCAGTTCGCATGCGTCTCCCCCACCCATGCCAACCTTTCGCAGCCCCATCAGGAGCTCCACCGAAACCCCAGTGGCACAGTTCGCATGCGTCTCCCCCACCCACGACAGCGTTTCGTGGCCCCATACGGAGCTCCACCGAACGCCCCAGCTGCACTCGCATGCGTTTCCCCCATCCAGGACAGCGTTTCGTGGCCCCACAGGGAGCTCAACCGAAAGCCCCAGTGGCGCAATTCTCGTGCGCCTATAGGGAGCTCCACCGAAGGCCCCAGCGGCTGCACTCACATGCGTCTCCCCCACCCAGGACAGCCTTTCGTGGCCCATGGGGATCTCCACCGATTGCGATACTCACAACGACGGTATTCACAACTGCATATGGTTGGGTCCTTCGCCAGGCTAATTTTAAAAAAGGATGGTCGGGGGGAGGGGGCGCATGGGTGTCGCATGGGTCCGGTTTGGTTGCCGGTTGGGTGGGGGAGGGGGTGTTTCTTGACAGAGAACGGTGGTCAAGTTCCCAGCGGGAATACCGCAAACTGTCTCGCTCACTCCCACCCGCCCTCCCACAACATAGGTCGCACCCAAGCCTCAGCAGAGGCAGAGGCCGCCATCGACAATCGTTGTGAACCAATGCAGACGCCAGCCAGGCGTGCGACACCCGCGAGGTGCGCCGCACATGTCAGATGCCCCACGCGCACCTTGTGCGCCACATTGATCAATACGTCGCCCGCGCACCATCCTTGTCAATAGCCATTGCAAAGTGACGGCGGATTTGAGAACATTGCGTATTGCGCTTGCACCCGCAATCACTTTTCACTTGCTTGTGCCAGGCATTGTGCGCCTGCACACAGCAGGCAATATGGCGGTCCCTACGCCGTCCCAGCCAAAAAATAGCCTGGCGAAGGACCCAACCATATGCAGTTGTCAATACCGCAAATCTGAATATTGTTTTCGGTGGCGCTACCTCTAGGTAGGGGAGACGCATGCGAACATCCCCACTGGGGCCTTCGGTGGAGCTCCCTATGGGGCTACGAAGCGCTGCCCTGGGTGGGGGAACCGCATGCGGGCACCCCCACCGGGGCCCTCGGTGGAGCTCCCTATGCGGCCACGAAACGCTTCCCTGGGTGGGGGAACCGCATGCGGGCATCCCCAGTGGGGCATACGGTGGAGCTCCCTATGAGACCACGAAACGCTGCACTGGGTGGGGGAACCGCATGCGGGCACCCCCGGGGCGTCGGTGGAGCTCCCTATGGGGCTACGAAACGCTGCCATGGGCGGGAAAACCGCATGCGGACACCCCCACTGGGGCCTACGGTGGAGCTCCTTATGGGGCCACGAAACGCTGCCCTGGGCGGGGGAACCGCATGTGGACACCCCCACTGGGGCCTTTGGTGGAGCTCCCTATGGGGCTACGAAGCGTTGCCCTGGGTTGGGGAACACTGGAGCCTACGGTGGAGCTCCCTATGGGGCTACGAAACGTTGCCCTGGGTGGGGGAACCGCATGCGGACACCCCCACTGGGGCCCACGGTGGAGCTCCCTATGGGGCCACGAAACGCTGCACTGGATGGGGGAACCGCATGCGGACACCCCCACCACTGGGGCCTACGGTGGAGCTCCCTATGGGGCCACGAAGCGCTGCCCTGGGCGGGGGAACCGCATGCGGACACCCCCACTGGGGCCTTCGGTGGAGCTCCCTAAGAGGCTACGAAGCGCTGCCCTGGGTGGGGGAACCGCATGCGGACACCCCCACTGGAGCCTTCGGTGGAGCTCCCTATGGGGCCACGAAACGCTGCCCTGGGTGGGGGAACCGCATGCGACACCCCCACTGGGGCCTTTGGTGGAGCTCCCTATGGGGCTACGAAGCGCTGCCCTGGGTGGGGGAACCGCATGCGGACACCCCCACTGGGGCCTTCGGTGGAGCTCCCGATGGGGCCACGAAACGATGCCATGTGTGGGGGGGAACCGCATGCGGACACCCCCACTGGGGCCTTCGGTGGAGCTCCCTATGGGGCCACGAAGCGCTGCCCTGGGTGGCGGAACCGCATGCGGACACCCCCACTGGGGCCTTTGGTGGAGCTCCCTATGGGGCCACGAAGCGCTGCCCTGGGTAGGGGAACCGCATGCGGACACCCCCACTGGGGCCTTCGGTGGAGCTCCCTATGGGGCCACGAAACGCTGCACTGGGTGGGGGAACCGCATGCGGACACCCCCACTGGGGCCTTCGGTGGAGCCGCCTATGGGGCTACGAAACGCTGCCCTGGGTGGGGGAACCGCATGCGGACACCCCCACTGGGGCCCACGGTGGAGCTCCCTGTGGGGCTACGAAACGCTGCCCTGGGTGGGGGAACCGCATGCGGACACCCCCACTGGGGCCTACGGTGGAGCTCCCTATGGGGCTACGAAACGTGTGCGAGGTGTGCCGAGAGCTGAGGCAAGGAGGGGGAGGAGGGAGGAGGGGGAGGAGGAAGGAAGGAAGGAAGGAAGGAAGGAAGGAAGGAAGGAAGGAAGGAAGGAGGAGGGACGCGGGGCACCGTCTTTTCAAAACGAGGACCCAACACCACATGATGGTTGGGAACATCGAAGTGATCGCGGGGTGCCCGTGAATGGCAGGGCATCTGTTGGCATCCCCGTCGCCCATGTCAAAACAACTGCATGGACGGCAGCCTGGGTGAAGTCGTGCGCGTCCCTCTACAGGAATAATAGTCAAATTTAGTTAAAAAGAAAATGTCAGGAGCGTGTTTGTTTCTAAGATGTCTGACTATGTTTGAGCATGCGTTGGCTATTGTTTAAGATTGTCGCCCCGAATCCGCCTGTAGGAGAACATGCCCGACCTAACGCCTGGTGCCTCGAGCTGCCGTGGAGGGCAGCCCGGTGCCTCGGCAGCCGCGCGGGCGCCCGCGGCGCAGGGCTCCCCGGCGAACGGCGGCGCCACGAAGGATCTCGAGACGCAGGCGGCCCCCGAGGAGTTGGAGGAGGAGGAGGAGGAGGCGGAGGCGGAGGAGGAGGAGGAGGAGGCGGAGGAGGAGGCGAAGTAGGAGGAGGAGGAGGAGGAGGCGGAGGAGGAGGAGGAGGAGTTGGAGGAGGAGGAGGCGGAGGAGGAGGAGGAGGAGGAGGAGGAGGAGGAGGTGATGGTGGTGTTGAGAGGGTCCCGCGTGGGTGGCGGAAGTGGCAGCCAAGCGCCACCCCGACGCGGGCCCCCTCTTGCGGTCGCTCTCGACCCTGGCTCCACTCTCATGCTGTCTCCTCTCGTTGTCCCCCTTGCTCTTGCCGCCCTGCCATCATCTCTTGATTTCCGGCGAGCCACCGCAAGCCAATGACGCTACGGGTGCAAGCGCGCGCCTTTTATCCTGCGTAAAAAGAGGGTGGTGGTGGTGGTGGTGGTGGTGGTGGTGGTGGTGGTGGTGGTGGTGGTGGTGGTGGTGGTGGTGGTCGTGGTGGTGGTGGTGGTGGTGGTGGTGGTGGGGTGGTGATGGTGGTGGTGGTGGTGGTGGTGGTAGTGGTGGTGGTGGTGGTGGTGGTGGTACGGTAGGTTCATGCGGCGAGGGCGCGCTGGCGACGGAGGCGCAGGCGTTCAAGGTTGAACTTCGCATGATAGAACGACGCGGAAGCACCGAGGGACACGGCATCGTCACAGGACCCGACGGAAGTCAACCTTGAACGGTCGGATGTGCGATCGGTTGCAAGTTAGACACTCGGCGCGGTGTCAATTACGCTACCGAGGGACCCCACATACCTATTTTATTTCCCATGTGTACCATCGGTGCTTCTGCTGCTGCTCCTCCTTCTCCTCCTCGGTGTCCTCCTCCTGCTGCTGCTTCTGCTGCTGCTGCTTCTTCTGCTGCTGCTGCTGCTGCGTCTACTGCTGCAGCTGCTGCTGCTGCTGCCGCTGCTGCTGCCCCACCTCCCCGTCCTCCTCCTCCTCCTCCTCCTCCTCCTCCTCCTCCTCCACCTCCTCCTCCTCCTCCTCTACCTCCTCATCCTCCTACCTCCCAGCGCACCCCCTGTGGCGTCGAGGAAATGCCACGCCTGCCACGCCCTGGGAGCCTACAACGCATAGGGCCCCCACCCCACCCCTGTGGCGTCGAGGAAATGCCACGCCTGCCACGCCCTGGGAACCCACAGCGCATAGGGCCCCCACCCCCAGCGCACACCCTGTGGCGTCGAGGAAATGCCACGCCTGCCACGCCTTGGGAGCCTACAACGCACAGGGCCCCCACCTCCCAGCGCACCCCCTGTGGCGTCGAGGAAATGCCACGCCTGCCACGCCCTGGGAGCCTGCAGCGCGTAGGGCCCCCACCCCCAGCGCACCCCCTGTGGCGTCGAGGAAATGCCACGCCTGCCACGCCCTGGGAGCCTACAACGCATAGGGCCCCCACCCCCAACGCACCCCCTGTGGCGTCGAGGAAATGCCACGCCTGCCACGCCCTGGGAGCCCACAACGCATAGGGCCCCCACCCCCAACGCACCCCCTGTGGCGTCGAGGAAATGCCACGCCTGCCACGCCCTGGGAGCCTACAACGCATAGGGCCCCCACCCCCAGCGCACCCCCTGTGCCGTCGAGGAAATGCCACGCCTGCCACGCCTTGGGAGCCTACAACGCATAGGGCCCCCACCCCCACCGCACCCCCTATGGCGTCGAGGAAATGCCACGCCTGCCACGCCCTGGGAGCCTACAGCGCACAGCCCCCCTTCCCAGCGCACCCCCTGTGGCGTCGAGGAAATGCCACGCCTGCCGCGCCGTGGAAGCCTACAACGCATAGGCCCCCCACCCCAGCGCACCCCCTTGTGGCGTCGAGGAAATGCCACGCCTGCCACGCCCTGGGAGCCTACAGCGCATAGGGCCCCCACCCCCAGCGCACCCCGTGTGGCGTCGAAGGAATACCCTGTGTGCTATGATGTGCTGTGCTGTGCTGCTGTGCGGTGAGCTGGGTTGTGCCGTGTTGTGCTGTGCTGTGCTGAGCTGAGCTGAGCTGAGCTGAGCGGTGCTCAGCTGTGCCGTGCTGATCTGAGTTGAGCTGAGCTGTGCTGAGCAATGCTGTGAGGAGGAGGGGAAGAGCGAGGTGTGTGAGAGAGAGAGAGAGAGAGAGAGAGAGAGACGGAGAGGGAGGCGTGGGCGTGTGAGTGTCGCGGGTGCGGCGCGGCAGGGGCGAAAACCAGAACCCCAAAATGCAGAGAAGGGGAGGTGGGTGAGAAACGCGGGTGCGACGCGGCAGAGAAGAAAACCAAAGCCCCACGAAGCATGCGGGGAACAACTCTTTGCGCGCGCCGACGCCACACGAACCTACCGTTCTCGGCTCTTGGTTTGCCTGCTTCGCCAGACGATGCTCTGTGACCGCCGTGCGCTGCACGTGGGGTCGAACACCCCAAGCGAGCGTGTGTTTGATAACCCCCCTTGCGACTGGTCATCCAATCTGGTGACGCCTTGGATAACGTCAGGGTCGAGATGCCCGACGGAAACCACCCATTGAAAGAAGCAATGCGCATCGCACGAGGTCCCAGGGTGGGAAAACGCTGGGCGCCTCAGCTCGCACATTTTGAGGGGGGGACAGGGTGCGCGCCACCAGGGGCCGAGCTCCAGCGCAGGCCGCCAACGCGGCACGCACTCCCTGGTCCGTTCTCCTAGCCCCAACGGGGGCAGGCCAGCGAAAAAAAGCAGGGTGGAGCGAGAAAGCACGGCAGCATACCCCAGAAGGAGGCAAGGAACACAACACTACAAAACTAAAAGCTGTCAAGCCTCACGGGTCACGTTCTACCCTTGCCCTTGCCCTTGTTGGGTCGACTTTTGGGCTTGGCGGTGGCATCGGGCGGGGCCCAGGCTCCAACACATTTAACTCGGCCTCCTTCTGAAACATTCTGTCGGAAACCTCGAGGACCTGCTGTTCTCAATCCCTCCGGTGGCGCCGCTTACCCGCCAGCATCTTCTCGAGCGAATTCTGGAGGCGCCTCCCCCCAGTGTTCCTCGGAGGTGGGCCTGGTTTGACTTCGGATCCCGGGGCGATCAGGCACTTGGCGTCTAGGAGGTCGGCGGAGACCATGATCATGTTCGGGGGCTGGCCGATCTGAACGATCGCGTGGATACAGAACGATTGACGAATTCGAACCTCACCCCTCCTCCCCCGCCCTCGCGCACGCCGTCTGGGCTCTCCAATGTCTGATGCCTCCCGAAACAATCTCAACTGGTTCGTCCCTGAGCAGTAAAGTCGGAACCCTTGCAGCTTATTCGACCTGGGCACAATCTCCAACTGTGGGGAGCTGCAGCATGGCTTGAAGAACTACCATTGCCACCGTCAACGGCGGCGGCCCAATTTTCACTTGGGGCCGTCATGAAATCGATGCATGTAGCAATGTGCTGCCGCCACTGCCCCCGCGTTGATGTTCCAATATTTGTTGGGCAAGTGCGTACTCAAGAGGCATGATGGTAAAAAGGTACATTCAATTTTCCTTGGGCGATCTCTAACTCAGTTTCGTTATCGGTGTCCTTTGTCGTTCAGCGCCATCTGGTCCGATAGCGTTGCAGCTGGTGCTTCACTCCTTGATGCCACCACCACTTCCCTGCGGCGCATCTTCGGCGTGCCGCTCGTTCCGTAGCCGCCAGCGCGCAAACAGACACCCTGGGGAGCTCGCTATACGCTGCTCTGCTGCATCCAGCATCATCGAGGTTCTCCATCCACTGCGCCACCAGTAGGAACTTCGAAGGTAAAATGGGCAGATGTGCACTATGTGGCATGGCTTCCATCGTGCACCTGCAGAATCTCCAGGCTATCATGATCACAGCCGCATGCTGAACATTTCAACGCCTCGGGCAAAGCAACATCATGTCGGAAGTGTCCCCCAGCTGCCTGGTGCCGCGATTTCAAGCACAAGTTGCGAACATGCTGCCGCGCGATCGGACGAGTCGACAAGGCCGTCATGCACCACGGGCATTGAGTGGTGACGTTGTAACATTGCTGAGGATTCGGCGTCCGTGCGCGCCCCCATGTGCGGAGAGCACTTGTGCATGCCAAGCTTGTTTGTCTGCGAAGTCGAGCCCGCAGCGGACCCCCTTTTGAGTGAGTTCCCCAACGGTGGAGCCTCGGGGTGGTCCTCCGGAGTCCCATGCCGAGTTTTTCCTTGTCGCCCTCTTCCTCCACCTACCACTCACTGAATGTGTTCTTCTCCATCGTTCTGTTCCTGATGAGCATCATCCTAAACTCGTCCTAGACGCCCTTCCCAGCAAAGATCGCGAATCATTCACAAGTGCAACTCAATAAGCTCAGCACGAATGTCGCCAGCGAAAACTTTGGATCAAACTTTGAAGGGGGCACCATCGAGCTCGCGGGGTGATCCAGGGCCATACCCAACGTGTTATATAGCGTCGAGGTCTCGTTCAGCCTGGAGGGCCCAACGGCTCCCATGATACCTATTCTCTTCACCTCGCACCAGCTTCCGCAATATGTGCCTATCCGGTAAGCGTCCAAGCATCGCCGCGAGAAATTGCGCATTGTGCTCGCAATGCGCCGCCCAGGGTTGCAGCCATCGCAACCGTCGGATACACAGCTCCTATTTTGACGGCGCCAGACCCAACAAGTACCATATGTTGTTGGGCGGATCAGTTCGGTGCTTGAAGCCCCCATCTGGCTGCGCTACCATGAGTGCCGCTTTCCCTCCAAGGAGCTCCCCCCCCCCCCTCCCAGCACGTTGGTGTCACTCAACGTGCAGGCGCTCTCAAGAAAGACGTCTGCTTCCAACGCAGTGAGCCCGCTAGTTTGAACGCGACAGTAGCATACAAGCCGCCCAGCACAGCGGGGATTTTCTCTGCAAGCAAGAATGGCCCCATGTTGTACCAAACGCTGCGCACACATCGAGGGCAAGCAGCCCATGGGCGTGCATTTCGTCCTGTGCACGGATACTGAAGTCCAAGATACGTTGCTGCAGGTCTGATTGTGCCTTGCACCACGTGCGTCGTGGTCGA